TCCCCCCGCCCCCCAGGCACCAGCAAAAGTCAGGACACACATCCCTGGGTCTGGGAAGGGGGACGCGGGTGCTCCTCCCTGGTCATGGGGGGAGGGGGACACATGGACACATGTCCCTGGGCCTGGAGGGACCACATGTCAAAGGCACCTACCTCGGTTGCAGGCCCCTCCTCGGCCCAGACCCTGGTCGGGGCTCATGCAGGAGGCAACCAGTTGATGTCTCTCTCACAGTGATGTCTCTGTCTCTCCCTCTCTCTTCCACTCTCCCTAAGAATCAGTGGAAAAATATCCTACGGTGAGGATTAAAAATAAAAAGAATCAACCAATCAATCAGACCCCGAGGGCCCCTACCCGCAGCAGGCGGCAGGGCAGAGCTGCTGGGCTCCTGTGGACCAGGATTTTGGTTCCTTCCTCACGGAGCAGAGGTGAGTTTAAAACGGTTTTAGCTCCTTGATTTATTCACCTTGTGCCCTCCAATTAACTGATATTGTCAGAATCCAAGCGCTCAGGGAAACTAGATTCAAAGGCTGCACTATCCGGTGGATAAGGGACCCAAAGGAAAGAAACACACACGTTGGATTCAGCTCAGATGAGCAGCCTGATCCCCACAGGACAGAAGGAGAGCCACTTTCAGAAGGTTCCAGATGCTGTCCTCTCCAGATTGAGACAGAAAGAACCCCTGGCGTGGGCCAGTCCCTGGGGGAGGAGCGAGGGACACCTGAGCAGCCCCAGGAGTGAAGCTCCAACACTCTCGTCTCCCCGGGGAATAACAGAAATCAGGAGGCAACCAGTTGATGTCTCTCTCACAGTCATGTCTCTGTCTCTCCCTCTCTCTTCCACTCTCCCTAAGAATCAGTGGAAAAATATCCTACGGTGAGGATTAAAAATAAAAAGAATCAACCAATCAATCATCAATAAGTGGAACAACAAATGGATGTTTTTCTCTCTCTAAAGAAAATCAATAGAAAAAAGATAAAGGGGTCTTTCTGGCGTCCCGTTCGGCAGTGAGGGCCCCCTTGCAGTTTGCTCGTAATTCGGGGTGCTTTCTCTCCGGCTGACCTAGTGAGCGGGCGGCGGCGGCAGACCATGCATCTGGAGAAGGAAGGCGGCCGGCTGAGCTCCGACAAGCTGGAGGTGGAGCTCCACCAGACGTCCGCGTCCCCGCGTGCTGGCCTGGGACTCGCCGCCATCAGCCGCCGGCCACAGCTGGGGGGGAGGGGCAGAAGCAGGCGGCCGGGCAGAGCTGCTGGGCTCCTGTGGACCAGGATTTTGGTTCCTTCCTCACGGAGCAGAGGTGAGTTTAAAACGGTTTTAGCGCCCGGCCGGTGTGGCTCAGGGGTTGAGCATCGACCCACGAGGAACCAGGAGCTCACGGATCGATTCCCGGTCAGGGCACGTCCCCAGTGTGGGGGGTGCAGGAGGCAGCCGATGGATGATTCTCTCTGATCATGGATGTTTCTCTCGCTCTCTTCCTCAACCACTGGGCCACACTGGCCAGACAGAACTCCAGCTTTTTTTTTTTTTTACGTTATTTTATTTATTTTAGAGAAGAAGGGAGAGAGAGAGAAACATCAATGATGGGAGAGAATCATTGATCAGCTGCCTCCTGCACGCCCCCTACTGAGGATCGAGCCTGCAACCCGGGCAGCTGCCCTTGACTGGAATCGAACCCGGGACTCTCCAGTCCACAGTCCGACGCTCAATCCACTGAGCCAGACCGGCTAGGTCAGCTTTTTTTTCTGCAGAGACTGAATTTAGACCCTCACAGGAGACGTTTATCCCTGCCCCTCACTCTCTTGTGTCTCGAGGGTGCCCCGTGCTGGCAGGGACGGCACCTGTCACTTGTGCTGCTCTGTGTGTCTTTCAGGTCTCGCTTGCCTTTCACCGGGTTCTGCAGCTCCGGGCCCGGAGACCCCTGCCTCACAGAGAGCACGCCTCTGCTGGGGCGCCCCTCCCAGGAGCGGGGGTAAGTGTCCCCCTTCCACCAGAGGAGGCCTCTCTGAGCACCGCCCGAGGTCTCAGGGCGAGGCCTTCTTCCCGAGAAAGGAACTTGTCTCGGACGCATCAGGGCCAGGCTCTCTGCCCCTTACTGTCAGCTCCAGGGCCATGGTGTTTGTTTGTTTGTTTTTAATATGTTTTTATCGATGTCAGAGAGGAAGGGAGAGGGAGGGAGAGCAACATCCACAATGAGAGAGAATCATGGATCGGCTGCCTCCTGCACGCCCCACATTGGGGATCGAGCCCACAACCCGGCCTGTGCCCCAACCGGGAATCGAACCCTGCCCGCCTGGTTCCTAGGTCGATGCTCACCCCCTGAGCCACGCCGGCCAGGTTAGCTGATGTTTCTTGAAGGCCCACAGTGCATTTTGAAGATCCGAGTGGATTCAGACTCCCCTGGACCCCATTGTTCTGTGATGTCCGTCCGTAGGGCCAGGCCCAGCCCCTCGACATCTGTCCTCGCTGCATGTCCCACGCCAGCGTGAGATGTGGTCCTGTGTTGGAGACGGGCCTCGTCTCGTGAAAATAAGCCCCATGTTGCTTTCCAGGGTGCGGTGCCTGCCCGTCTGCCACCCGGAGCTCATCACGGCAGAGTCCTGGGACCTCAGCTCGGCCGAGTGGGAGGGCACGTCGCTGCTGGGCAGTGAGGCCACTGGGTCCTCCAGATCCGCCTCCTCGGACAGGGGGGACCTCCTGGAAGGGGCTCCCGTACCGTTCTGCCTCTCCAAGCTGAGGTAGGAGGACCCGGGGCCCCGTGTGGTCCAGGGTGAGGTCCCACAGCGCGGCCCTGACCGGGAATCGAACCCTGACCTCCTGGTCCATAGGTCAGCGCTCAGCCACTGAGCCACGCCGGCCGGCCGGGCGTGTGTAGCTTCTTTGTGCTGACTGGCCTCCGCCGTCCCCAGGCCTGACAGGTGATTGGCTAATCATCCCCGGGGCCGGAGGTGACAGGCGGGCGTGTGGCCCTTGTACCGTGTCAGAGAGAGAATCCAAACACGAGGTCTGAGCCGGGGTCCCCAGGGCCTCCCAGAGACGTCTGAGGTTTGGCGAGCCTGGGCACAGGCGGACGGCACAGCCGGCGAGTGACGCAGACCCGGCTTTTCTCCAGGTATTTTTGAGCAGCTTCTGTTGTCCATAAAAGGCTCAGGCTCTTCATCTGTAAAATAAAGGGTGTGGATGAAATTGGGTGTCAGCAAACATATTTTGATGTAAATAGTTTAGCCTTTGTGGACAATATAATGTTTGTTGCAATTACTCTGTTCTACCACCTTACTGTGACAACGGCCATAGACAAGACATAACTGACCGAGGTGGGGGCTCACAGGCTTCCGTGGAGGCAGGGCCTCGGGGGCGGGCGCCAGCAGAACTCCTCTGTCCTGGTCCCACGTCACAGGGACCTGGCTTTGCTCCGTAGAAGACAACGGGCTGCCCCTGGGTCCCCCCACTCCCTCCAGGGGGCCCCCAGGCCATCCCTCACCCCACATAGTAGCACTCATTACTGGTGGGGGGCCCGTCCAGGGATCGTGGGACCCCCGCATGTCCTGGGACCTTTTCAGGTGGTGCCCTGGGCCTCTGCCAGGCTGGGCCACGTTGTGTGTGGGGGGTTGTTGGTTGATTTGTTTTTAAATATGTTTTTGTTGCTTTCAGAGAGGAAGGAAGGGAGAGAACATTGATGTCTCTATCTCTCTCCCTCTCCCTTCCTCTCTGAAATCAATAAAAATATATATTTTAAAAAATAATCAAGGCCCATGGTTGCTGAAGATAGTAGAACGGATCAGAACTTGATTCTAATCTCTAAGAGGGGCTATTCGGAGTCAACTGGTGGGTGTGGGGTACAGCAAGCAATACCATTGCCACCCCCCTGTTATCTTTTTATTTTTCTCTTTTAATCCTCCCCTGAGGGTATTTTCCCATTGATTTCTAGGGGGAGTGGAAGGGAGAGGGAGAGACAGAGAAATATTGATGCATGAGAAACACATCGATAGGTTGCCTCCTGCACGAGCCCCGAACCAGGGCCCGGGCTGGGGAGGAGCCTGCAGCCGAGACACATGCCCTTGACCGGAATCGAACCCGGGACCCTTTGGTCCATAAGACGACGCTTTAGCCACTGAGCCACACCAGCTCCTCCCCCTATTTTCAATGGTGACCCATCTTCTGTGAGCCGTGTCGCGCTTACCCACAAGCCCTCCTGAAGTGCTTCTGCTCGATGCAGGTCTCGTTCAGCCTGTATCCCGACGAAGGGAAGCTCTGGCAGCTGCTGGCCGTGTCGCCGCTGGAGAGCTACTGTATCTAAATCGAAAACCGTGCCGGGCGGGAGGCGGACGGTGGCAGAGGCTGAGAGTCACAGAGCAGAGAGGCGCCCACGCCCCGTTCCAAGGTCACCGCACAGGCCACAGGACGCTGAGTGAAGGACGAGGCTTCAGGACAGGAGGGGAGGGAGCCGTGAGAGCCCGCGGTGGGCGGGTGGCGGCGAGGATCCCCACGTGAGGCGGGTGCCGCTTTCAACTGCCGGGGTTCCGGTCCTGGGTCTGGCGACGGCTTGGTTTCTTCCCGTTGTGTGTTCTCTGGGTCCCTGGCAGGCGGCCTGGCTTGTCGTGAAAAGGCAGACGTGCGTGTAGAATAGACGTTCGAGTGTGTGCGTCAGCTCCGGCTGACGGTGTGGATTCAACACCGTTTCTCAGTTCTGGGGGCTGGAAGTTCAAGGCCAGGGTCTTTCGGGCGGATCTGGTGTCTGGTGAGGTCTCTCTTCCTGGCTTGCAGACAGCCGCCTTCCTGTTGCATCTTCCCAGGTGTTTCTTGGTGCTCTGTGTGGAGTGAGAGAAAACTCTCTGATGTTTCTCTCTCTTTGGAAACCATTTTTGATTGGTTTCCACAAAATATATTTTGTGGTTTCCACAAAATATATTTCCACAAAATATATTGGTTTCAACAAAATATATTTTTATTGATTTCAGAGAGGAAGGGAGAGGAAGAGAGAGATACAGAAACATCCATGATGAGGGAGAATCATGGATCGGCTGCCTCCTGCACACCCCCTACTGGGGATCAAGCTGGCAACCCGGCAGGTGCCCTGACCGGGAATCGAACCCTGACCTCCTGGTTCCTAGGTTGACGTTCAACCACCGAGCCACGCCAGTTAGGGCTGGCATCTCCTGTTATAAGGACACTAATCCTGGCTGGTCAGGGCCTCACTGATGGCCTCAGTCGCTCCCTTAGAGCCCCCCCCCCCAATCTCTACACAGCCAGGCAGGGGGCCAGGCCTTGGACGTGGATTTTTGGAGGGACACGGACACTGGTCTGTAGTCCTGAGGGAACACTTGGGGATGAGCGTACGGAGGGGTTTGTGTGCATCTGGTCAGAGGTGGGCAGTGTCGCTGTTGGTGGTTGCCATGTAGCCTCTCTCCGTCTGGGCGTGGCTCACCTCCCCCGGGGCTGGAGAAGGGGGTGGACTCCAGGCTTCTCCTTGCTCGGTGCTCACCTTAACGTCCCCCCAGCTGCGAACCTCAGCAGCCGGTCCGACTCCACGCTGCTCCAGGTGGACCTGGCGGGGGCCCTGATGCCCGGCAGCCCGAGTCGTCCGGGAAGAGAAGAGCATGTGGTGGTGGAGGTGACGCAGGCCGGCGCTCCCAGCTCCAGGCGGTGGCCCCAGCAGGTCCTACGTCTAAGTTATTTGGAAGGAATTGTGAACACTCACCCCAGCGCTTTAGAAACCGACTTTCCTCCCGAACGGACCGGATGGGGAGGCAGGAGGCAGTGGGGCCATTATCCCGCGAGCCCTCACCTTTTGCTCTGTCTCTGAAATTCTCTTTTTCTCCCCTTTCTCTACGTCAGTTACCAAAATCCTGCCATTTCAGTAAAATCAAACTAGGAAGCACATTTTCCTTGTTGTTAATCCTCACCGGAGAATCCTATATAATGAAAGCGTAAGATGCTAAGTGTCTGACCATCCGGTCGACCGCTCAACTGGTCACTATGACGTGTACTGACCACCAGGGGGCAGATGCTCCAACCAGTAGGTTAGCTTGCCGTTGGTGTCTGGGCGAGAGGGCTGGACATGCCCTGGAGCCTTCCCTTGGTCCCTCCCTGGCTGGCCGGCCCCAATTGGGACTAGGCAAGATGGCCTGATCGGCCCCAATCGCTGGCCAGGCCGAGGAACCCCGCCCATGCACAAGTTTGTGCACCGGGCCTCTAATATTTTTCTATTGATTTTTAGAGAGAGTGGAAGGGAGGGAGGAAGGAAGGAAGAAGGAGAGAGAGAAACATCGATGGGTTGCCTCCTCTTCTGACCAGGGCCAGGGATCGAGCCTACTACCCAGGTACGTGCCTTTGCCTGGAAATCGAACCCATGACCCTTCGGTCAGGGCAAACGGGTAGCCGTTTTAGGCAAGTGTTTCTCCTATGTTGCCCACTAAGACAGAGGCCTGCAGGCCCGGCCGGCATGGCTCAGTGGTTGAACATGGACCTGTGAACCAGGAGGTCACAGTTCGATTCCCCATCAGGGCACATGCCCAGGTTGCAGGCTTGATCCCCAGTGTGGGGCGTACAAGAGGCAGACGATCGATGACGTTTCTCTCTCATTGATGTTTCTCTCTCTCTCTCCCTCTCCCTTCCTCTCTCTCTAAAAAAATTAATAAAAACGTATTTTTAAAAATCACGCAAAGGCCTCCGAAGTGGGCATTTCCAGCTCCCCGTGGGCTGGGCTGCTTGTGTCGGGGTCAGGGGGCTCTCGGGTTCTCTCTTTCCCCTTTTCTGATTCTAAACCAGCACCCACACTGCACAGCCCCGGGTCCCGGTGCTGGTCAAGGTCAAAGCCTTACCACGGTGTCACTCTTGGACTCAAGGTCACTCACAACTGGACCGTGTTCCTAGACCCGCGACGCAGCGAGCACGTGGTGGTGAGCAGGACCTTCGAGGTTCCGAGCAGGTGGGTCTCCGGTGATGGCCGTTGGGGCTGGCGTGGGAAGGAGGGACAGGAGGGGCGTTGCCGACAGCCAGTGGGATGCTCTTAGCACCGGCGCTCCGTCTGCAGGGACGGGGTTTCCATCAGCGTCCGCGCGGCCCTGCAGCAGCCCCGGGCGGTGCCCCTGCTGCTGGCGCACCAGCACCTCCGTGCCAGCGTGGAAGCCCAGGTGACCGCGGCCGCCGCCATCCTCGCGGGGGTCTACGTGCTGATCATATTCGAGGTAACCCTGGCGCCTGTCACCTAAAATAAATTTTTATTGATTTCAGAGAGGAAGAGGGAGGGAGCGAGAAAGAGAAACAGTGAAGAGAGAGAATTATGAGTCGGCTGCCTCCTGCACGCCCCCTCCTGGGGATGGAGCCCACAACCCGGGCCTGTGCCCAGACCGGGAATCAAACCGTGACCTCCTGGTTCCTAGGTCGACACTCAACCCTGAGCCACGCCGGCCAGGCTCCTGATGGTTTTACTGCCCACCGGGCGCCATTGCTAATGTGGAACACAGTTTGGGCCAGAAACACAAGAGCAATGATTTTTCCTTAATTATTGATTTTCGTGGTAACGAATTATTGCCTTAGCAGCTTCCAGGGGTGTCTGCTGAGTTCTTTTTGGGGTCTCTCTCCTGTTTCTCTGAATGTCGTTCAGAACGTAGGCATTTAATAAATTCGACATGCTCTAATCTGTTACAGTCACGAGGAATTTCAAAAATGCAGTCCGAGGCCAATTTATTTTTGAAAAGACTTCTCTGCTGTGTTAGGGTTTGTCATCTCTCTCTCTTTTTTTTTTTTTTTGTATAATTTTGAAGCCTTTGAAAATGACATAGTTTGGGCCCTGCAGGCTTCCTGGTAGAAGCTACTTTATGTATCCAGCCTCCTGCCTCTGCTGGCGGTCACCTCACCCCTCAGGAAAGAAAAGCAGCTGTCGTCAGGGGATGCGCAAGGGTGGCTGTGTGTGCCGTGGGGGTGCCCCGTTTGTGGCTGTGTGTGCTATTGGGGTGCCCGGTTTGTGGCTGTGTGTGCTGTGGGGGTGCCCGGTTTGTGGCTGTGTGTGCAGTGGGGGTGCCCTGTGTGTGCTGTGGGGGTGCCCCGTTTGTGGCTGTGTGTGCTGTTGGGGTGCCCGGTGTGTGGCTGTGTGTGCCGTGGGGGTGCCCGGTTTGTGGCTGTGTGTGCAGTGGGGGTGCCCTGTGTGTGCTGTGGGGGTGCCCCGTTTGTGGCTGTGTGTGCTGTTGGGGTGCCCGGTGTGTGGCTGTGTGTGTTGTGGGGGTGCCCGGTGTGTGGCTGTGTGTGCTGTGGGGGTGCCCGGTTTGTGGGACAGGAGGACCCACGATTCATGCTCACAGATGTGGTATAGGATGGCCAGGCCGGCCCAGACTGACGCCAACGCAGGCTGTTATGTGTTTTAACCCCCATGGACCGGACGCCAGTCATGTCCTGCTCTTTCTCCAGATTGTTCATAGGACACTGGCAGCCATGCTGGGCTCCCTGGCGGCACTGGCGGCTCTGGCTGTGACGGGGGACGTAAGTGGGGGCATCACCCATCGAGGGCGGAGCATCCGATTCAAGGGCGGCTCAGGGGTTGGGCTCAGCTCCTGGTTCCCACTGTTTTATATACTGTTCCCACCTGC